ATCTGACAGACAGACTTTGGGCATATTACAAGGAGGGACCTGTCCTTGGAGAGGGACATCATGCTTGGGAGGGTGGAGGGACAGCGCAAGAGAGGAAACCCCTGGATAAGATGGGTTGATTCTGTGGCTAGGGTAATGGGGGTAGGTGTGTTAGAGATGATGAAATTGGCTCAGGATAGAGAAGAGTTCAGGGCTGTTGTACGTAAGGTCACTATGCATCGCAAAGGCCTTGACAGCACATAACAACCATCCCCTTTGGGATTGTAGAGCAGCCTCTTTTCATGAGGCCCCCAGCTCACAGTGGCCATCGTGTGCCACCAATACAGCTGTGGCTGTCTCTGTTCACTGCTGTAGCTCCTGTCAGCCCTCCTCATAACAGGCCTGTGACAAAAGTATGAGGAGGGATGGGATCTCTCCATCCTTGCACCAATGGAATGTTCTGGATGCACTTCTCCTGGACAGACTTGCTATTCTTACAGCCCATGGTTTACTCCAGAATTCTCACCAATGCCACAACCAAAAGCATCAGTTCTACAGCTCTATCACCATCAGCTTTCACAGGCAAAAACACCTCGCACAGGAAAGTGAAAATACCATAGCCTGGGCGGTTTACTCCTTAATCTTCAAAGGGACATACTTGCACTTTAGAACTTTAAAGTGATCTTTTGAAGTTGACCTGTGTAATTCTGTGTACTGTTTGAGTTCTGGCTGCTGGCAACCATGGGCACTGCTGGTAGAGCCAGGAAATGGAATCCTTGACAACTTTAATCTTTTCGCCACTTACCATGATATTGCCTATTATGGCCAGTTGTGAGGATTTTTATTTTCTTTATATTAAAGTGTAATCCATAAGAAACCCTGGTGGTATAGTTCATGAGGTATCAGGCTTAACCAGAAACTGGCAGCTCCTTTCTCTAGCCAATCCATGGGGGGTGTGGTGGTGGTTTGGTTTTAGTCCATTCAAAAGGTGTCATCTTCAATCTTCATCAGTAAATACTTCTTCTTCAGTCTTAGCAAGCAAAGCTTTGTCATTTACGTATTACAAGTTGTTAGTTTTTCCTCCATTCTTCATATAGTCCCTCGTCTCATCATTCATTCATCATACACATTAACGACGTATGGTGAATGGATACAATCCGGTGTGTACCCTTCCTGATTTTCAATCACACGATGTCCTCTTGTTCTGTTGAAACAGCAGTTTCTTGGTCTAAGTACAGATTTGAGCACCATGAAGTGTTTTGGATTTCCATCCTTTGTAATGTTTTCCATGATTTGTTAGGCTCACATGGTCAAATGGCCTCTGTATAGTCAATAAAACAACTTTCTGGTATTGTCTGCCTTCAGCCAAGTTCCATTTGATGTCAGCAAGGATTCTAGATCCTCTTTTGAATTTCTAGAAGTTCCCTGTTAATGTGATGCTACAACTATTTTAAAATTATTGTTAGTAAGATTTTCTTTTCACGTGATAATGACATTTTTGGAGAATTTCCAGTGTCTCGGATGGGTCTCATTGAGTCTTCCAAGTCCTCGTCTTCACAGGTGATGAAACGAAGACACACATCGGAGAAGCCTCCAAACCTCCAGGCAGGAAGTGTGGGTCTGCAGGCTACGAGCCCTACCTCCTAAGCCCTTGGCCACTGCATTACTGTACCTTTCAAAGGGCAAGTTCAGCATCTAACTAGATTTCCAGAACATGAGAGGAGAGAACACATCACAGAAAAACTGTAAGAAAATCTCTGGCCTAGCCTGATTTTGGCCTCCCCTCCCCAGAACACAGCTATGGAATGAAAAAATGTGGAAGCTGTGGCATACTTTCCCATGACCTGCGGAACCAAACAGCACCCTTTAATCCTGTCACACCAAGTTCAGGCTTAACAAAAGTCCCCTAGGATTTAGAGAAAGGCCTCAGAACCCCCAAGAGGGAATCACAAGGCATGCAGTGTGTCCTTTTGGCCTCAGGGCCCTGCACAAGGAAGCTCCCCTACACCAGGGAAGGCCATGATACTTGGAGATGCCCATGGACTTCTAGAACCAGCAGAGAAGACTTTTCCCTTGGGTTGGCTCCTTGAATTTGAACTTGTAACTTGATAGGCTGGGAGTAATTGTGTTTGTGCAGCATGTGTGATAGCAACATTGGGGGACTAAGACGGCCTCCTAGAACAGAACGAGATTTGGATTGAAAGGGCTGACAAAGGACCCAAGATGGGCTCAATGAGAAGGCCTACGTTAAGACTTATTGTTGAGAATAGCCAAAGCACCAGGACAATGAAAAGATCCTGAATATTTCCAGAGAAAGAAAAAAAGATCAGACAGTGCCCGTGTCTCAACTTCCAGCCAAACAACAGACAGGCCTCTAAGGTGAACAGTAACACCAGGCAGGTACACAGTCCTTAGAACAGTCAACCATATGTGATCAAAAGGACAGCATCTGCTTGGAGGTCAAGCTCAGAATGCAGGACGGAGCAGGATGGATGGAAACAGGAAACACAGGGAGGGGTGGGGCAGAGTGCTGTCTCTGTGAGGATTGCAGTCAGTGTCACAAAATAAGCAGTGGGGGAAAAACGGGATCTGTAAGTCTTCACCAAATCACAATAAAAAGTTAAAAAAGAACACAAAGCACAGGTTAGAATTCATGGTGGAAGACTTCTGGGAAAATGGTATAATGTTCTCAAAATTCTGGGTGGAAATGACTCCCAACTCAGCCACTCTCTTGTACCTGGTTACACTTCCCAGCGGAGACCACAGGCCAGTCTGCTTAACTTCCTGTCCCTCATTTTCATGAAATCTGGCTGTGTCCCCCTCGCCTAGGTGAAGAGGGAGAGGGTCGCATGGGATACTGGTCAAGGGAGAGGAGGCAGCCCAGGACATTGGTATGGCTTGCCCCAGGATGACAACTGGACCAGAATCCACAGCCTGAGACAGAGGGCAGGTGTGTGGGGTCACAGGAAAAGAAACTGGGTTACTATACTCGGAGAGTCCTCTGGGGGTACACTGGTGACTGGCTGTGGAAAAAAGAAAGCAAACAAAAACATCAACAATTATTAACTCCAGGAAAAACAGAGTTGTGCAAGAAAGGAACTACAATCCTAGGACACTTTGTCTTTTACTGAGAAGCCATTGATGTGGCTGGAAGGACCTAGGCAGCTCAGTGCCCATCAGACTGGGACAGAGTGGGGTGAACACTGTAGATGGGACCTAACACACCCCAGGACGCCAGAACCAAATGCTCACCCACGTCCAGAGTGCTCTTCTATCAAGATCCCATCTGTCCCTTATACAGAAGGAAACAGTGTATCTTCCTTGCAAAGAGCATCTGGTGTATCAGGTTAGCAGCCTGTCACATTATGTACTGTGTCACCACGGCTCCAGGATGCTAGGAAAGGGACACTTCATGTAGAAAGACCAGTAAACATCAGTTGAAGCATGCTTGTGGCTGAGAGCAGCACAGACTGGAAATGCTGAGAATTAGTGAAAGGTAGGGGGACAGCTTTGTTGTTATTATTTATTAGTGTTGAGAAAAATGATTTAACTTATAAAACAGGACATTTGTATAATTTTGGAAAGATACAAGTTAAAATGAGAAAGTGAACAGAGGCATCACTCTGTGGACCGATGGTCAGTGTCCACACGTCTTCGTTCAGGTGCGTCTCAGGTGTGATGTGCTGCACCAGCTGGCTCAGAAGCTGCAGACAGAGAGCCGGGGTCCTGAGAGGCTCGCTTTGTGATTGGTTGCTGAGTGGTTGAGCTGAGCAATTCCAGGAATGGTACTATTTAAGACAGCTGCTGTGTGCTTGGTGAGTGCACGGTTTCTAGTTTTGGGGGATGGTTGTGGGGCAGGCAGGGTGTGACTAGATCACTCGACATGGCAGAAGGGACTTGGCAGAAGCAAGGAAGGTCATGGGCCTGGAGGTGGGCAGACGAGGGGCCCCTCAGATCAGCCTGTTGGAATACAGGGCTTTTCAGCTGGGGAACGACTTGGCCTCTGTTGCTGGCTTTAAAGATGGATGAAGGGGCTGTGAGCCTTGAGATGTGGGCAGCCTCTCCAAGCTGGGGTCCTCAGTCTGCAGCTACCAGAGAAGCAGAGACCCTGGCGTACAACTGCCAGGATGACCACTGACCACTGGGAGGAGCGAGCAATAGCCCTCCAGAGCTCAAGAAGGGGCCCCGCCTGCCCCGCGTGTGATGCTGCTTTCGTCTGGGGAGATCCTTCTGGACCTCTTGTTCAGGACCATCCAGTACCGGCACCAGCTGTTTTCAGCTCCTGAGCTTGTGGTGTCAGGTAGCGCCATGGACAAACAGAGCTTTCTTAGCTTGGCATTTGAAACGTGTAAGCAGGAAACCAGATGTTTGAGTTCAAGCAAAACAGTGCCTACTACTAAGCTTGAAAAGGTGGGGGGTACAATGGTCCCTGGACCAAGAGCCACGGGATGGACAGGCTGCTGGCCACTGCACATGGGAGCTGAAGGGCAAAGGGCAGGGAATGAGGGGGTTCTGGGGGCTTCCTGGTTCTGTCAGCCGTCAGCTTCCCTGCAAGGCTTTGGTCCATGGTCATGGCAGGCACCGACCCTTGGCTGTCTAACATCTCTCCAGTGGACAAGGGCTGACTGACCACCATCCCTGCAGGCAGCCTGTCCATCAAGGCTTAGAGGTGCAGGGATGGTGGGCAGGTGCCAAGGATGTTTCCCAGCAAGACGTGGTGTGCAGGGAAAGGAGTGCCTGTCAGCAGCCGGGCTGGGGCGTGGAACCCTGCTCACTCCCAGCACACGCAGGCCCTAGACTTCCCACCTGTTCTTTGCCCTGGAGCACAGCTTACAGTCCCCTCACAGCCGAGGAGCTCCTGGGTGCAGGGTTAGCACCCCCTCCACTCCCACTGCTGTACTGTCAGAAGCCACTTTGCTGGCCGGCCCAGGTCGCAGGCAGACAGGCAGGCAGAGGTGCCCAGGCCCCAGTCCCCACTCTGGTTCTGGGCTCTGCCCCACGAGGACCCCAGGCCCAGCTACTCAGGGCTGGGCCCCACGGTACTTGTGGAAGGTGGTCTCCAGGAAAGTGGCCAGCTTGGTCCGGTCATCCTGCAAGGACAGGGCGGGGCGTGTGGAGATCAGAACACACTCTTCCCACTGCCTCCAGGCCTCCTGGCTCCTACACACCCTGGATCCCTCCCCACGTGCCTCGTGGACAAAGCCGTAGTGCACCAGCTCGGCTGCCAGGTCCTTGGCGCTGTCGGCTGTGGGGATACGGGGGAGGTGGGCAAGCTGTGAGCTTGTGGCCCTTTGCCTCGCTTGCCCCCACTCTGCCACCAGGTATCCCACCCTGCCTACTTGGGAGCAGGTCATAGGTGAGCTGGCGATGCAGACGGTCCTCCATCACAAGAAGCAAGGTGAGCTGGGGGGGCAGAAGGCGAGGCTGGGCAGCAGGGCCGCTGGTATGCTGCAGAACCCCACACCTTACCCAGCCATGCCTCCCAGTCATCCTCCAAGCAGCCCACATCTGCCTGGACCCCTCCACCCACCTCTGCCCAGGCCCATGCAGCCCACCTCTGCCTGGGCCCATCCACCCACCTCTGCCCGGGCCCATCCATCCACCTGTGCCTGGGCCCATGCAGCCCACCTGTGCCTGTCTACCCCACCTCTGCCTGGACCCGAGCTTACATGCCACTTTGCTTTGTCTTCACTTCTCTCCATGTTACACTGCATTTGGATGACCTGGGGAGTGGGAGGGTGCCAAGGTCACCCACCCAGAACAAGAGCTGCTGCTTTCAGGGGTGCAGGAAAGGATGGCAGAGGTTGGAAATGGAGACAGTCTGAATGTGGGTCAAGAAGTAGTTTCAGAAGAGTGGACATTGGGGTTGGACAATGAGGGATGAGTAGAAGTTTGTGGAGGTGGAGGGTAAACCTTGAGCAAAGGGGTAAGGGAGTCAGGGAGAAAGCTGGCACAATGCCCAGGTTAGGACTGGAGGTGGCCTGGATCAAGACAGTGGCCATGGGGCACTCAAAGTCATAGCCTTAGAGGACACGATGAGTTCAGACACACGAAGGCAGGGAGGGCAAGGGGGCTGCAGGAGAGGCCTTGTGAGGAGGGGGCTTTGTAGGGGGAGGTCTGGGAGAACAAAGGCCTGGGGACTTGGAGGAAATGCCAGGGCCCAATGTCAGGAACCAGCACAGCAGGAGGTGGGATCGGAAGGCTGGAGTTCTGGGGAAGAGCGGCACTCCAGCAGGTCCTCCCTGGCACCAGCTCTCCTGAGGGTGGCTCTTGGCCCTGGTGTTCCACAGCCTGATGGAGAGTTGGACTGGGGCCCCAGTGAGCATGTCTAGTTTGCTGGGAGCGGGGGGGACCTCAGGTATGGACTCACCTTCCTGGTCTCTGAGTCAAAGGGCTCAGGTGTAGGGGTCTTGACCTTCTGTGCCTCCTCCGGGGGCGGGGCAAGTGCCCGTGGCAGCCCAAGGGGCCGAGTAGTGGCAAAGTTCATCAAAGGGTAAATGCCATTCCTGGGGGCACATGGGGGTGCTAGTGCTCAGGCCTGGTAGCTGGGGGGGGCCCACACACAGCTCCCCGACCCCACTCACCTCACGTCCTCCAAGAATTTGTCCAGCTCCAGGAAAGACACCTCTGAGTACCTGTTGTGGGGAGGGGGAGTTGTGTGAGAAGCCAGCCAGACCACCCTAACTTGGGGCAGCCCAGGAGGACTTGGAGGGGCTCACCGCCACTGCACCGGGGGCTGTCGGAGCCGCGGGAGCTCAGCCATGACTGCATGCAGGTCCAGGGCCTTGGTCTTCTCTTGCACTGTGTTCTCAGGTGTGAGGTCTGTGGTTTACAGGGGCTCAGCAAAGCCTCTTTCCACCCACTGCCTGCTGGCCCCTCACACTGGTGCTGGATGAAGCAGTGCCCACCTGCCCACCCCAGGCCCTTACACTGGTGCTGGATGAAGCAGTGCCCACCTGCCCACCCCAGGCCCTTACACTGGTGCTGGATGAAGCAGTGGGCTGCCAGGAGCTTCAACGAGTGCACCTCGAAGAGGACCCGGTGGAAGAGCAGGTTGTGGGCAGAGGGTCGTTGGGCAGGGTCCCGGGCCAGACAAGAAAGGATGAACTCCTAGGGGCAGGGGAAACCAGGATGGACAATTCTGGGGTTCAATCCCCAGAACCTCCTTTCCAGAGACACTGAGGGCTCCTCACGCCTGCCCACGTATCTCTGCGTGTGGTGGGACACTCGTGTTCCAAAGCCCCTCTCTCTCCTGGTCACCCTCCTACTCCCACGTCCCACTCCCCAGAAGCCACAGGAGGCTGCGGTTTTGCCAAATAACCTACTGCCCCCTGCAGTGTCCACTCTACACCACCTTTCTGTGCTCTCCCCATAGCGCAGTGACCTCCAAGAAGCTGAAAGGAAGAGACCGCAGCCAAGAGTTGGGCACTGCCCAGCAGGCTGGTCTCCCTGACCCAGGCAAGCCTGGCTGGCACACTCCAGCTGCACCCCGGGGGGGGGGGGGGCCTGGTCCCGCCTCCAGTGCTCTGAACTTGCATGGGGAAGGGGCGTGGCGGGCAGGCTGCTCACCCGCATATTGGGGTCGCTCAGGGAGTGCCTGGCGCGGGCGATGGCCTCCTCCGTGACCCGGGTGTCTCCGTTGGCCTGGATCTCCAGAACTGCCATCTGGGGGCAGAGGCTGGTCAGACGGTCGGGGAGGGAGGCAGCATGCGTGATAAAAGGCCGGAGGTCACAGGGCGGGTACCTCCAGCGCGCACATCCCAAAGGAGAAGATGTCCACAGCTGTGCCATCAGCAACCTCTGAAACAGGGAGCAGGGAGGTGGGCTGGGGAGGCCGGCGTGGGGCGTGGGGAGGAGAGGCCACACCCCACCTGGACTCACCGCCGTACTCCGGCGGGAAGAAGTGAAGGTTCCGTAGCTCTTCACGCTCAGCCAGGATAGGGCTGCGGAGATCATCTGGGAGCGCTGCGGGCGGGCCGGAGTAAGCTGCCCTGCGTGATCTCACCACCGCCCTTTCCCGTACCCCAGAGACCCCCACTAACCATTGGAGAAGATGCGATGCCACACTGTGCCGGTCACCGGGGAGAAAGAGAGGCGTCAGCTCACCTCGCCCTTAGCCAGGTTTGCCACTCAGACCCTGGACCCTTCCTGGGACCAGCCCAAGCTCCATCTAGTCAAGTGCTGCCCCTAGGAGGCCTGCCCCGCCGGTTCCACTCCCATCAAGCGCCCCTCTCTGCCCCTTCAGGCTCCACTCCCATCAAGCCCCCCATCTCCTCGCTGCAGGCTCCACCCCATCAAGCCCCTCTCTCTGCCCCCACAGATTTCACCCCCCCAAGTCCCCCATGCCCACACAGGCTCCACCTCATCAAGCCCCCCTCATATATCCCTGCAGACTTCACCCCCCCACCCCCACCCCAAGTACTCCCTCTCCTTCCCTGCCTCCTATCCCAAAAGGCCCGGCTCAACCCAGCCCAGCCAGCACCCGAGCCGATCTTGATGAGGCCGTTGTGCTGGATGAAGATGGTGTCACTGGTGAGGTTCCCATGGATGATGGGGGGGCTACAGGCATGCAGGAAGCTGTGGACAGACGAGCAGATGGACCCCATCAGAGCATGCCCAGGAGGTGGCAGCCTCAGTGGGCTGGGGCAGCAGGTCCTGTGCTCACCTGAGAGCAGACAGGATCTGCGTGCACCAGCGCTTCCAGGCCTGTGGGGATGACTCGGTAGGTCAGTCGATTGTGGTGCAGGCTAGGCCTGATGCTGGCCCCTAGAATCCACCAACTCTTGCCCTGTTCTCCTGGAGGCCTCCTGGCACCACTGCCTGTATGTCCCAAGGACCTAGCGTCAGCCTGCCCTGTGGCAGCCCCAGCCCGTTCTCCCTACCCTGGCGTTCATGGCCTTGTGATTCTTCTTGGTCTTTTTGAGGAACTGCTTGAGGCTGCCGGACGACACGTACTCTGTTATGAAGATGACCTGCAGGAGGCAGGCTGGCCTCAGACTGACCCACTTTGCAGGCAGCACAGCCCACCCTGCTTGGCCTCACATGGCCCTGGCCTCCCCTGGCTCACCCGAGCACTGGTCTCGGAGGCGTCCAGCCAGTACTTGTGCAGCTTGACGATGTTGGGATGGTCTACGAGCGCCAGCTGCTCAAACATGGTTTGGATCTTCTCCTGGGGGTGGGGGGGGCACTGTCCTGAGGGTGGGGGTGGGAGTGGGGGACACTGTCCTGAGGATAGGGGTGGGGGTGGCCTCACCTCGTGCGCAGAGAACGCCTTCCTGTCGCTGAAGTGAAGCTCATTCCACACCACCTCCACCCCCTCCTCCGTGTCCATGGCTAGGAACGTGCTCTGGATCCCGGGCATGTTTCCCTGGTTCACCTGTGGGGACCAGGCTGGTGGCTCGGCCCCTGTCCATAGAGAGGTCCAGGGACAGACGACTAGGGGCTGGGGGGAGAGGGGCCCGGGACTGTCCCAGGATGAGGGGCGTCAACTCTAGCGTCTGGACTTGGTCTCGGTCGACAGCTGCTGGTCCCGAGGCAGGTTGGTGAGGCACCAGGAGGCGGTCCCAGGAGTAGACTGGCCCTCAGGGGGTGGGGTTCCTTCCAGGGTGTGGGGGCCGGCCCAGGCTGTGATGGCCGCTGAGGGCCACCCCCACCCCCTCGGCGGCTCTGCGTAGGTTCCCAGGCCCGGAGCCGCCCGCCCTCCACCACCCGAGGAGGTGGGCCCCGCCCGCGCCCACCTGCGCCCGCGCCCACCTGCGCCCGCGCCCACCTGCGCCCGCGCCCACCTGCGCCCGCGCCCACCTGCTCCCTCCGCTTCTGCCAGCGGCCGCACGGACTTTCCTCCAGGATATCGCTCTCGTCCTCGCTCTCGTCCTCTCGCTCCCGCTCCCGCTCGCGCTCCCGGCCCCGCCTTGGCGCCGGCTCTGGGGCCGCCATGGCTAAGCGGACCAGCCACCGCCCTGCCTGCGATCCGCGCGCCCGCGCCGCTGCTTCTCGCCCGCCACTGGCCCCGCACCCAGCCACCCGGGCTCAGAAACCCGAGCGGAGCCGCAGACGCCGCCGGAGCCGCCACCCAGAGCTGGGAACGGGGTGGGGGGCGCGGGTGCAGAGGACCTGCCGCGGGCGCGGGGGTGGAGCCGGCCTGCCCCTCCGGAGCCGCCTCCTCGGGCGGGACGCCGAGTGGAGCTTCGCAGCCGCGCCGAGCACGTCCGCCCCGCCCTGGCCTGCCCCCTGGAGCCCTGTCCCCCGCCAGTCCAGCTCCGCTCCCGGCACTGCTCCCCAGAAGTCCCGCCCAGTCAGCTGAGTGACCACGCCCCGTCGAAGGCCTCGCCCCCCGGGGGCCGTGTCCAGGGCCCGTTCAAGGCTCCGCTCCAACCTCGCCCCTGAAGCCCTCCGTCCTCCGGGAGCCCTGATCAGGCCCGGTCCGGGCCCCCAGCTCCACCCACAGAACACCGCTGCCTGACTCGCGAGGCCGAGGTCGGCGGTGCAGAGAGGAGGCCTCGGAACCAATGAGCCGAGTCGGCCCCGCGCTGCGGCGGCAGCAGTGGGCTGGAGCGCCCGCTGGGGCTTCCCTGCGCTCACTGCGCAGAGTCTCCGGGCTCCGCCGCCGCCCTCCAGCTGCCACCACCTCCCGCACCGCTTCACAACGCTTCACAAAGCATTTCCCTAGAGGCTGCTTTCTAGGGGTGGCGTGGCGTGGACCTGGGAGCTGAAGCTGACGCTGGGCCTGGGTGACCACTGCAGATCTGGGGGAAGGCCCTCCCAAACCCATGCAATTGGAGTCAGCGCTCCACACTCCCCATCCTTGTTAGCAAATGGGAGCGCCAGGGAAGGGCGTGCAGACCAGCTCCAAAGCCTGGCATCCGTGCCCAGCCCACGTGTTGGGTGACTATGGAGATCCTGGATGGTGGGGAGTCCAGATCTGGGCGAGCAGCTGCACCTCTAGCAGGTGGAAGCCACAGGCAGAAAGACCGTCAGTCTCCACCGCATGGGAGGTACTGCCTGGGACCCGCTGGAGGGGAACTAGGAGTGCTGAGCGGTACAGAGCTACTGTTATCTGCAGTTAACGCTAAGAGCTCCTTCAGATCCACCAGAAGTACGTTGCAGGAAAGGTCTGCCCATCCACTTCTGAAGACCAGCTGCTGAAAACCTCACAGAGCACAGCGGTAACCCTGCTCAGGGCTGCAGCTGTCCTCCAGGAGTGGTGGGAGGGGACATCCCAGTCACTCCGCCTGCAGCCCCAGGCCCTCCTAGTGGGGCACCCCACCAAACTCCAGCCTCTCCCAGTCAACAGCCTTGTCCTCTCTCCTGCCCCTGGCAGCACCTCCTGCCACTGTCACTTTGATAATAGAGTCTCCCACCCCTTCATTTCAGACACACCTTGTGCAGGTTCTGGCTAAAAAATCCTGGGTGCTGGACATAAACATAACTCATAAACGTTGGATACTGGAGAGAAAGGCAGACCCTGACCCCATCTGGAAGCGGGCTCTAGGACAGCCCTGGCACATCCTCCTGACACAGGGCAGTTAAGAACCAGGAGCCTGGGCCAGGTCCAACAGTCTGTGTTAAAGATGATTTGTGATGTGGCCTGGGCCATGGAGTGCCCTTGCTTGTGTGGAGGCTGCACGCTGAGCAACTGACGTCAGGGCACAGGTGCTGCACTCCCCATCTGTGTGACTAACACCGAGGTGGGGACCATCCTTGGTGCCAGCATCATTTCTTGTCATGTGTTGCTGTTAGAGAAAAAAAGATAATCCAATGAATCCAACAGCCGAGGACAAGTGTGAGCTGCTGCCTGGTGTCACCTGGACTCCACCTGAATAATCTTTCTCTGTGACTGTATCCTTTCTCTGTCTAGCCTATGACTGTGGTAGATTGAATGTATTCTCTTTCTAGCTAGATTGTGACAGTGATAGATGGATTGTAGCTTTTGTCTGTCTAGACTGTGACCCTGGTACCTTGATTGGACATGTTAGGCTAGACTATGATAGTTAACTATATCCTTATCTCCTAGACTGATACAGTGGTATATTAAATGTATCCTTCTCCAGCTAGATGAGAACCAGAGTGAAGTGATGGTTTCCTTTCTGTATTAGACTGTGACCATGGTGGCTCGGCTCTATCTTTCTCTGTCTAGTCTCTGATGGTGATAGATTGACTGACTATATACTTGCTCATCTAGGTGGTGACAATGATAGACTGATTTTACAGTGTCTTTGATTTTCCCTTTTGACTATGACACTGGTACATTGTTTCATTTCCTATGTAGACTATGACCTGGTAGATTAACTGTATCTCATTTATTCTGTGATTTGATAGATTAACTGTATCTTTCCCTGTCAAGACTGTGGCTGTCATAGAGTCCCCATGTCCTGGAGCCCTTAGAGTAGCTCATTGACCCTCAGGCTGGATTGAGGGGCCCAGTACACTTTCCACGGTCTCATCTTTCTTGTTGTGAAATTCAGATCTCCACCATAAACCCTGTTGTTGCTGTCAAGTCGAGCGTGAGTCATAGTGACTCTATGAACAAAAGACCTAATGCCGTAAGTGTGTTCATTTCACCAAGTTCATAGTTTCTAGAGGCATGTGGTTTAGGAAGTGGATGCCACTCCTGCTTCCAAACCTGTTTTACAACTGGGAGCGCCACCAAACACTGTCCACATTGGGAAGCCATTCTGGTATTTGATACCCTAATGGCACAAGGTTCAGCATCACAGCAACCCGCGTTACTTCATACTGCACATTGACAAAGAGTGATGTACAAAGTGGAAGAATGTTCCTTCAGATATAACAGCACTAGTTTCACTTAGCAGTGGGTAAGTGTGTCAAGTAAAATACGATTGAAAGTAAGTTTTGCACAAAAGACCTGAACTCTCTTTTATGACTAACATAATTTCTGTATAGAACTCTGTTCTATAATTACCATCATTTCTGTACATTTATAGAGTTTAGAGAGTTTGTAGAGTTTCCAGAGGCATCTAGTTTAGGAAGGGGATGCCACTCCCATTTCCCAGCATAAATCAGTCTGGAAGCTCATCCAAACATTGTACATAATGACTAACCATTATGGTATTTGACAAGACTATGAAACTGTGTGCAGCATCACAGCAGCACCAAGTTGTTCAATTTAGCAAATAGACAAATATGTCTATAAAAAGTAAAACCAGTTGGCTCAGGTGTTGTTCAATACAACACAAAATTATAAAGCTAGGGTATCCCTGGCATTTTATACAAGTAAATTTATATCAGGAATACTGAGAATTGGAGAAAACAATGAGTTGTAGGATTTAAGTTCTACAATAAGGTAGTTCTCAATTTATAACTTATTAGAGTTAAGACATACCTGAACCCTAGGTGAGTGACATTGACCCAGCACACTGTTCCCTCTGGATGAGTCTCTGTGGCCTCTATGGTATGTGGTAGATGTGCCCAGACCTCCCTCCACCCCCACCCCACAGCTTTTGTACTTGGCCATGGTCTTGAAGGCATTTTGCCTGGTGTTCTCAGTCTTTATTCAAACCTCATTTACCCCAACAGCCCTCTGGCACCTGCCCCTGAGAGACACACAGACTCTACCTTTAAGCAGAGCCGGGCCCCTTTCCTCCATCTGAGCAGACACTCACCCCTAGCAGCAGGGCAGCTGACCCAGGCCAAGGGCCAAACTGTTAGGACAAAGCTGAAACCCCGAGCTGGAATAAAAATTAGCCTTTCTCTACAGCCACTGCACTGGGCACAGAGCCACCACACATGGACACCACACTAGGAGCTACAGGCACTTTATTAGACAAAGGAGGACAGGACGTGAATTATTCCATCAACCCAGGAAATATTTCATAACCCACAGCATTTAACACCATTTGCAGAAAACCATGAATTCAGACTGAAGAGTTCAACATCCAGGGCAAAGTTCGCCAATAAGAAGGGAAGCATTTCAGCCAGAATCAACTGCATATTTTCAATACAATAGAAAAAGACCTGCATGGAAAACTCTTGACATTCCTGAAAAAGTAAAACAGTGTTACCATCTGACCCAGCAACTTGGAGCCGATATGGATCCAAAGTTTTGAAAGCAGGGACGCGAGAAGGCATGTGTGTCCATGGCTGTCCACGGTAGGGTGGCACACCCCAGTGATCACAGGTGAGGATGGGTGATCAAAAAAGCCTTGCAAAAAGATGAGTTCCTTCAGCTGTAAGAGCAATAAACTTGGGATGCATACTGTGATTCAGATGAACTTGAAAATATCATGCTGAGTAGAAGAAATCAGACACAAAAAGACAAGTATTAGGTGAATTTAACCTTGTGAAAATTCCAGATTGCATGAATGCATGGCCGGAAGCAGAGAGAGCAGACTAGGGGGCCAGACACAAAGGGAGTAGTTTGGATGTTGTTCTTGATGTTGGTTGCCGTAAACTTGAACATGACTCATAGTGACCCTATGAACAAAGGCATGAAGCCGCGCTATAAATATTGCAATGTATCAAAGTTCATAGAGTTTCCAGAGACATGTTGTTTAGGAAGTACTGAGGTCCAGAACTCTGCACTTGGACATGAACAAGTTTTGGATGTGGGTCTGATGAGTGCTATGGCATAAGGTAGTTGACCACTGACACAACAAATGGGCACAGCAGGGACATTTCAGGTGATGAAACTTTCACAACAGACTAGGGAACAAAAGATGGCTCGTCAGGTGACAAGGGTGAGACAACAGTGACACAAGGGACCGGGGCCACCCCAGGATGCAGTCAGTGCAGAGCAGACAGAGAGCTGTGCCACCAGAGAGACCCTGAAAACAGAGAAGCAAAAGAAAAAATTGAATGCACACAGACCAATCAGGGACAGAGGAGACGGGAGAGTGGAGAGGATACAGAGGAGAAGACGAAGAGATTAAGACACAAAATGATACAAGAAGGACGGACATTTATTTACTCATAATTTGAAAGACATAAAAATAAGAGCCCTGTGTCGGGGTCCTCCACGCAGCGCCCCAGCAGCTGCAGGTAGGTGAGGTTCTCGTGCGTGTTGGGGTCGAAGAAGCCCTTGGTGTCGTCGCCGGGGTCCTCCAGCACGCGGCTGAGGTCCTCGTCGAAGTAGCCGCGCTGGTAGGCCACCTCCACGGGCACGCGGTGGCTGTGCACGGGGTCGATGATGCCGCCCGTGGCGATCTGGGCCTCCAGCAGGCGCAGGCCGTGGTCCCTGACGATGAGGTCCTTCTGCATGGCCTGGAACAGGGAGATCTGCTCGCCCGAGTAGGGGTCCGTGTAGCCGGTGACGGCGCGCTCGGCGGACAGCAGCTTCTCCCGCACCTCGCCGCCCACCACGCCCTCGGCCACGGCCTCCTCCACCGACAGCCGCCTGTTGGCCACCGGGTCGATGACGAAGCCCGTGGCGGCCTGCGCCTCCAGCAGCACCAGGGCGGTGCCGGGCCGCAGCACGCCCTTCCACATGGCCTGGTAGATGCTCATCTTCTCCTGGCCGCCGGCCGCGTCCTTGCGCGGCACCAGCACGCCCGCGATGCAGCTGGTGCCCTGCAGGTACCGCTGGACCGTGTCTTTCTTCAGGAGATCGTCCACTGTGTTTCGACCCTCTGCCAATGCCTCCATGTCCTTTTCTGTAAGAACATTTGCTGCGACCAGCTCAGATGCAGTTATCTGCCTCCGGATTCCCTGGAACCACCACTGGGTCCCTGCTTGCTCCTTGTCTTCCACCAGCTTTAGGATAAGCTGCACCACCTCCTGCAGTGCATGCGCTGTGTCCTGCTTGTACCTCTGCACCAGATCCTGCTTCTGTTCCTCCGTCACGTACTCAGAGTTCAGGAGCTGCCACACGGACCACCTCTGGCCCCGGTAGCGTCCCACAGTGATGTCCACCCCTTCATCCTCAAGTGCTTGCCTAGTGGCCTCATCGATGTACTCATAGGCCTCTGCACCGAGGCCCACGGGCAGCAGTGCCCAGCCTGTGGCCGCATCTGTGCGGCATTGCATCTGTAGCTGATGATACGTCACCGCAGCCTGTGTCCTGGGGTCCACAAATCGTTTTCTCATGAGTGTTTGGTCACTCACTAGTGGGTACATGTCCTGGTTCAGGAGACCTCGCTGGAAAGCTGTTTTCAGAGGCACACGATGGCCGTGCACAGGGTCGATGACACCACCTGTGGCCACCTGCACCTCCAGCAGTCTCAGTGCCTCCTCTGGGGGGACCAGCTTCTGTTGCATAGCCTGGAACAGTGACAGCCGGGCGCCGGAGGCCGGGTCTGTGTGCCCACTGGCGGCCTTCTCTGCCCAGAAGAGCTTGTCTTGTAGCTCCGTGCCCACCAACCCGGCTGCTACTGCCTTGCTCACAGGGAGCTTCTGGTGACCTCTGGGGTCCAGGATGAACCCCGTGGCAGCCTGTGCCTGTAGTAGCTGCAGTGCAGTCCCCATGGAGATCAGCCCCTTCCTGCTAGCCTCGTAGAAACCTAGGATCTCTTGCGTGGAAGGTATGGTCACTCCGGCGATGTACCCATGACCCTCAAGGAAGTGCCGTACCCTCGCCAGTTCTCGGCGGCTCTGCTCGCTGTCTCGTTCCCTTTGCAGCATGTCCAGTGTTTTCTTTTCCATCAGCCCCGAGTTGAACAGCTCAGCAAGTGTCACTGGCCCCTGGGGGCCCATCACCTCCACGGCTCTGCTCTGCTCCTCTATCTCCTCTACTGTCGCCACCACCATCTCTCGTAGCTGCTCCAGGGACAGCCTTTTGGTCTTGTACTCCTGCACGAGTGCTCGCCGCCTGTCCTCTGTGAAGTACTGAGAAGACAGCATGTCCCACAGGGAGGTTACCTGTCCTGCAAACCTCCCCACGTGAAGCTTGATGTTCTGTGACTCCAGTTGCCTCCTGGTTGCCTCGTCTATGTATATGTAAGCTTCGACTTTCCCTACAATCTGCAGGAGGTAGAGCCCCGTGTCGGGGTCCTCCACACAGCGCCCCAGCAGCTGCAGGTAGGTGAGGTTCTCGTGCGTGTTGGGGTCGAAGAAGCCCTTGGTGTCGTCGCTGGGGTCCTCCAGCACGCGGCTGAGGTCCTCGTCGAAGTAGCCGCGCTGGTAGGCCACCTCCACGGGCACGCGGTGGCTGTGCACGGGGTCGATGATGCCGCCCGTGGCGATCTGGGCCTCCAGCAGGCGCAGGCCGTGGTCCCTGACGATGAGGTCCTTCTGCATGGCCTGGAACAGGGAGATCTGCTCGCCCGAGTAGGGGTCCGTGTAGCCGGTGACGGCACGCTCGGCGGACAGCAGCTTTTCATAAGTCTCTTTGCTGAACATCCCCGCCAAGTAAGCCTGCTCCACTGTCAGCTTCTGGTTCTTCACGGGGTCAATGATGAAGCCCGTGGCGGCCTGCGCCTCCAGCAGCACCAGGGCAGTGTCGGGCCGCAGGAGGTGGCGGTGCTGGGCCTCGGCGATGCTCATGATCTCCCCGGTGGCCTGGACGCGCACACCAGCGATGAAGTTGCTCCCCTTCAGGAAGTGCTGCACATTGGCCATCTGGGTCACCTCCTGCACAGTCTTCTGCCCCTGGATCAGCTCATCCAGGGTCCTCTTGTCAATCAGCTGGGACCGGAACAGCTCAGCGGCTGACACGTGTCTCCGGAGGCCTGGGAAGGGGGCCGGCGAGGGCTGTGTCTCCGCCACTTTAACCAGCGCAGTGACTGCCTGGACCACTTGGTGCAGTGCTGTGGCCCGGCCTGAACGGCAGAGTGCTGCCAGCTCTCCACGCTGCTGGGGGTCCACGTACTCGGAGTGCAACAGGTCCCACAGCGACACGGCCTGCCCTCCGAACCGGCCTGCCCCCACGAGCACCTTCATGGCTCGTAGGGCCACCGCCGTGTGCTCATCCACATCTAGTGTCCTGTCTTGAGGCAATGGCAGCAGCCACAGACCGGTGGGTGCCTCCTGGATGCACCGCGCCCTGAGTTCCTGGTAGGTCACTTTCTCTTGGGCACTGGGGTCGAAGAAGAAACGCACACCCTCACTGCTTGTGCTCAGCACCTGCCCTGTGGCCTCGTCCAGGAGCCCAAGCTGGCAGGCGGTGGGCAGCGGCAGGTGCACCTGGTGGACTGGCTCCAATGCGCCCCCTGTAGCCAGCTGAGCCTGCAGCAGGGGGAGGCCCTCGGCCCTGGACACAAGCCCCTGCTCCATGGCCTGCCACAGTGAGAGGATGCGGCCCGAGCAGGGGTCCCGGAAGCCAGCCACCACCTTCTCGATGTGTCGGAGCTGGTCACTCAGCTCCCCGGCCACCAGTCCAAACTTGACGGCTTCCTCCACTGACAGCCGTTGGTTGGTCATGGGGTTGACCAGGGCTCCGCAGGCCACTTGGGCCTCCAGCAGCCTCTGCGCAAGGCCCACAGGCAAGAGATCGTCCTGCATGGCCCTGGCAACAGTGGCCTTGGCCCCTGATGGCTGTAGCAGCACGCCAGCTACACAGCCCGTCCCCCACAGGCAGGCCTTTACCTCGGGCTGCATTGCCACCTCCTCCGGGGACTGCTGACCCTCGACCAGCGCCTCCAGCGTGTCCTGGGAGATGATGCCGACATCCAGCAGCCACACAGCAGGGACTTGGCCCCGAGGTCCTGGCAGGGAGACCCGGGCACGTGCCCGCAGCTCTGCCCCTCGCAACCAACTCAGCAGGGCCTCCCTTAGCTGAGGCTCTGAGCAGTGTCCCTCACGGAAGCGCTCCTTGAAGGCCCGGCGCTGCTCCTCGGTAAAGTGGTGAGAGCTGAGCACGTCCCACAGCGACCTGCCATCCTCAGCACCTGGTGCGGCCCGCAGCACCTCTGCCACCTGCTCGTCGCTCGGCAGGGCAGGGCCGGTGTCTGGCAGCAACAGGAGGGGCAGCCCAGAAGCCTGGTCTCGGGGACACTGCTCCAGCAGCTGGGCGTAGCTGGTGAGACCCTGGCCATCGGGGCTGGGGAAGGTCTGGGGGCCACCACTCAGCTCTGCCTGTGTCTCCTGGTCAATGCAGCCCCGTTGGATGGCCACCGGCGTGGGGAGGTGGTGGTGGCCCCGAGGGTCGATGGCCCCTCCCGTTGCCACCTGGGCCTCCAGAAGACGCATCACATGCTCTGCAGGGACCAGGCCCTTCTTCATGGCCTGGAATATGGACACTGTCTTCCCAGAGAAAGGATCTCTGAAGCCGGTGACTGCAGCCTCAGCCAGCCGCAGCTGGGCATACAGCTCAGGCCCCACCAGCCCCCTGTGCACAGCCTCATCCACTGTTAGCATCTCCTGGCTGTGGGGGTCCAGCAGGGCCCCGGTGGCCGCCTGGGCCTCCAGCAGGGCCAGCCCCAAGCCTGGGCCCAGCAGCTTCTGCTGCATGGCCTGGTAGAGGCTGAGGCGGCGGCCGGAAGGCCGCAGCAGCACACCGCCCAGCGACCCCGAGCCAAACAGACATGTGCGTACAGCGTCCACTTCCAGCAGTGCCTTGGGGCTCATGGCCCCTGACAGCACACGGTCCAGAAGTGTCTCATCTATGACCCCAGCCTCCAGGAGCTCGTGGGCGGGGATCTGGCCACGAAGGGTGGGCAGCGAGAGGTCTTCCCATCGACGGGACGCCACCTGCAACACGGAGGCGATGTGCTCCAGGGTCACCCTGTGCTGTTGGAATTGCCGGAGCAGCTGCCGCCGCTGGCCCTCACACACGTACTCGGAGTTGAGCAAGTCCCACAGGCATATGCGCTGGCCCCGGAACCGGCCGTGCTGCACAGTCAGCAATCGGCCCTGGAGGGCCCGCCTTGTGGCACTGTCCACCAGCTGGGGCCGCGAACTGCTGAGCGGCAGGAGGCGCAGCCCCGTCTCAGGGTCCTCCACACAGCGCCCCAGCAGCTGCAGGTAGGTGAGGTTCTCGTGCGTGTTGGGGTCGAAGAAGCCCTTGGTGTCGTCGCCGGGGTCGGACAGGACCAGGTTCAGGACCCTGTCAAAATAGCCGCGCTGGTAGGCCACCTCCACAGGCACGCGGTGGCTGTGCACGGGGTCGATGATGCCGCCCGTGGCGATCTGGGCCTCCAGCAGGCGCAGGCCGTGGTCCCTGACGATGAGGTCCTTCTGCATGGCCTGGAACAGGGAGATCTGCTCGCCCGTGTAGGGGTCCGTGTAGCCGGTGACGGCGCGCTCGGCGGACAGCAGCTTCTCCCGCACCTCGCCGCCCACCACGCCCTCGGCCACGGCCTCCTCCACCGACAGCCGCCTGTTGGCCACCGGGTCGATGACGAAGCCCGTGGCGGCCTGCGCCTCCAGCAGCACCAGGGCGGTACCCGGCCTCAACAGCCCCTTGCTGCGGGCCTCATAGATGCTGAGCCGCTCCCGGGAGTCAGGCAGCAGCAGGCCGGCCAGGCAGCCAGTGCCCTGCAGGTAGCGCTGCACCACTTCCAGCTGGCCCACTTCTCGGGCTGTGGCCTGCCCATGCTCCAGCTGCTCGTACACCTCCCGATCGATGATGGTGGCCTCCAGCAGCTCTCCTGGGGTCACAGTGTCCCTCAGCCCCATGAAGCAGACCTTGGCCTCGGTCGTGGCCTGTTTGATGGCTGCTTGGAGCTGACTGGCCAACGCCTCCACCGATAGGGTCCCCTCCTGGTGCTGCTGAGCCAGCGAGGCCCTTGTCTTCGCCGGGACAGCATCAGAAAAGAGTAGCTGCCACACGGACGCGGGTCGGCCCTGGAGCTTGCCCACTGGTATGGTGGCCATGGCTGCACTCAGGGCCTGCCGGGTTCTGTGGGTAATGAACAGAGGCCCCTGGGGCTCCTCCTCCTGGGCACCCGCCGTGAGTGGCAGGAAAGCAAGGCCGGTCTTAGGGTCAGTGACGCAGTGCGCTAGCAGCTGCCCATAACTGAGGCTCTCCTGGGTGCTGGGGTCCAAGAAGCCAGTGGTCTCTGACAGACGCTGCCGCGTGTCCTCGTCCAGGAATCCGGAGCGGAGAGCAACATCCAGGGGCAGCCGCAGCCTTCGGGCCGGGCACACCAGGCCCCCTGTGGTCATTTGGACATCCAGAAGTCGCATGGCCAGCGGCTCATCCACCAGCCCCTTTTGCATAGCCTGGAACAGGGTGACATGCGAGCCACTAAAGGGGTCACGGAAGCCTGTCACTGCCTGCTCGGCCACCAGCAGCTGCCCGTAGAGCTCTGGCCCCACGAGGCCTGCCCGGATCGCCTCGTCCACCCATAGCTGCTGGCCAGTGACCAGGTCTACCAGGGTGTGGGTGGCAGCCTGGGCCTCCAAGAGTGCCACTGCCATGCCCACAGGGAGCAGGTGCTCTGTGGCTGCCTGATAGAGGCTCTTCTTGTGGCCCGTGGGCAGCAGCACCACGCCAGCCACGCTCTCAGTGCCCTGAAGGTAGCGCTGGACGTCAGCTCTGGCGCTCACGTCGGCCACTGCCAGCCGGCCTTCTTGCAGGCCACGAGCTGTGTCCCCGTCCAGAATGCCAGCCTCCAGCAGTTCTGCTGTGCTCACAGCCCTGCCCAAGGAGCGGAAGGTAGTCCTGAGGGGCAGCAGGGCCAGACCAGTGCTGGAGGCCTGCACGCACCTGGCCAGCAGTTGTCGATATGACAGCTGCTCCAGCGTGTTGGGGTCACAGAAGCGTGTAATATCTGGTTCTGGCTCCTCCTGTTCCAGGTGGCGCCTCGTCTCTTGGTCCAGGAGGCCCAGCTGGCAAGCGGGCTCCGGGGCCATGCGCATACCCTGGGCAGGGTCCACCAGGCCCCCAGTGGCCAGCTGCACCTCCAGCCAGCTCATCCCCAGCACCTTGTCCACAACCTCCTTCCGGATGGCCTGGAAGAGGGGCAGCCTGTCACCCCCGTAGGGGTCCGGGTACCCTGTGACAGCACCCTCGGCAGCCAGCAGCTTCTCCTTCAACTCCAGCCCCACCAGCCCCTGGCACAGGGCCTCAGCAACAGAGAACAGCCGGCCTTCCACAGGGTCCACCAGGCCACCAGTTGCTGCCTGGGCCTCCAGCAAAGCCAGCCCGAGCCCTGGGGGCAGCAGGCCTTGCTGCATGGCTGCATAGATATGCAGGGTCATGCCAGAGGTCTCCACGTACACCCCACCAATACTCTTGGCCTCAGTGAGCATAACTGCCTGGTCTTGGGGAGCAGGTGGGGTGCAAGCTCCCTGCACAGCCTTTCCGGGCTTGGGGGTTCTGGACTTCTCAATGCCATCGCTGACCAGGAAGTCAAGAGGAGGGATAGTATGGCCGTTCATGGTGACCAGTCTGCAGAACTCACCAGACGTCTGCTCCCTGTAGGAATAAAAATTTCTGTCAGGACTGTAGGGGACATGGCTGGGCTCCCCTGACTTTTCCAAATGGATCTTAGCCTGGACAGGAGTCATGTGGGCTTGTGCCACCCAGGCCTGCTTCCCAGATGTGGGGAGGGCCTCTCCCCACAGCCCTGATCACTTCTCAGTGGCTGGTATAGACTCTTGTCTCCAGAGCCCCCTATATCTCCCCAAAGATCTCAGCCTATTCTCAGCATGTGGTACTCCCCACAGACCCCCCTACCCTTGCCCGCAGACCCCCACATGTTCTCAGTGTCTGGCCCTCCCCACAGACCCCCCACCCCTGCCCGCAGACCCACACATGTTCTCAGTGGCTGCTACTCTCCACAGACCCTCGTCCCACCCTCTGACCCTGGCCCATTCTCAGTGGCTGGCACTTCCAGTCTGAGCCAGGAGGCGCCTGGAACCCCTTGTCCCTCTTCCTGGCAGCTCCTGCAAGTCCACTTAACCTCACACCTCCCTAAGCACACCCACAGCGTCCTCCCCTCACATCTCGCTGCTCTGGCCCTACAGTGCAGGGTCTGTGCAGACTGCTTCTCCACCCCACCACTGAGGAGCACAGCCCACCCTGCCAGAAAACCCCATCTGAGCTCCTGGAAATTGGCCTGGTCCCCAGTCCTAAGCAGGCTCAGATCCAGCAGGGCTAGCCCATCCACAGGGTGACGGCGCTCGTAGAAGCCGGTCTCTCCCTTTGCCCTAAGGGACCTCTGGTTTGTGCTTCACAAAGGGTTGCAACACTAACCCCAAAGTGGCACCTGTCCAGCAGTTCAAATCCAGCAGCAGCAGCTCCAAGGAATAAAGATCGGCAATCTGCCCCCACACCCCTGCAAAGTTCATGGCTCAGCAGCTCCCAAGAGGGCCAGCTCTGGGCCGGTTCTAACTCAGCAGCACAAGACTGCTCATCCGGCCCATCCATGTGGCCAATCCTTGTGGTCCCATCCCTGTGGCCTGTCCCTGTGGCCTCTCCATGTGGTCCCATTCCTGTGGCCTGTCCCTGTGGCCTGTCCCTGTGGCCCGTCCCTGTGGCCTATCCCTGTGGCCTCTCCATGTGATCCCATTCCTGTGGCCTGTCCATGTGGCCTGTCCCTGTGGTCCATCCCTGTGGCCTGTCCCTGTGGTCCATCCCTGTGACCTGTCCTTGTGGTCTCATCCTTGTGGCCTGTCCCTTTGTCTTCATACCTGAAGTCCCATCCTGTGGTCTTGTCCCTGTGGCCTGTCTCTGTGGTCTCATGTGGCTGTGAGCTCAGGATCCCTGTGAGTCTGCTATGTATGATGGGGGACCCCTATGCAGCTGGAAGGGTTGCTTCACACACTCTCCCTGGACACCTTGTCTCTGCTCCTGGATCTTCTAAGACAGCTGCACACCCAGACTCGGGGTGGAGGGTGGGAGGTGGTGCCCTGGAGCACTTGGGGGTTGTCCCCTGAGTACCCCATCTGTGAGATGGCCACAAGTTCGGGCTCTGGAGGAGTGCCATGCAGCACTTGGGAGCCTGTCCCCTGAGCACCCCTTCTGTGAGACTGCCACATGCCTGGGCTCGGGGGTCATGCAGGCCCTGGGAGGCTGTCCTCAGGCGCACCTCTGGCATAGGCTGAGCATGTCTCAGGTTGGCAGGCACAGGTGCTTTCTGCACAGCAGCAGCTTCCTCAATTGATGTCCTCTTCCAGCATTTTAAGGGGCTCTGGTAGCCTAGTGGTAATGAGCTGTGTCGCCAGCCTGAAGGTGGGCAGTTTGAATCCACCAATTGCTCTGCAGAAGAAAGGTAGGCAGTCTCCTCCAATGTGACTTACAGCCTCTGAAAAACAGCTGGAGGGTCAGCTAGGAGTCGGTTCCAATCAGACAGCACACGACAACTGCCTGCACAGCAAGGAGAAACCGGGCTGCACCTTCTGGAAACCGCAGCTCAGCACCCACGTTCGTCAATTGTAAATTCTATTTTAAAAGGAAATTGCATTGGGGAAAATCTGCTGTCAGGGACCTCTCCAGAGTGCTGAGAAGCAACAATGTCAGTCTAGAGCCTAACATGTGCCTAATTCAGGCCCTGGTCTTCACAATACTTGCTATGCATCAGAGAACTGTACTATGACTATGAATGATAGAATAATTGATGCCTTTGAATTGTGGTGCTGGAGAAGAGTCTTGAACGTACATACCATGGCTAACATTCTGAAGCTCTGTCTCACATACTTTGGGCACATGGCCAGGAATAACTAGTTTTTGGAGAAGGACCCCATGCTTGGAAGGGTGGAGGGACAGCACAGGAGAGAAAGACCCTGAATGAGATGGACTGATACAGTAATTGAGGCAATGGGGGTTGGTATGTCAGAATCAGTGAGACTAGCTCAGGACAAGGTAAGCTTCAGAGCTGCTGTACATAGGGTCACTATGGGTTGCAGAAAACTTGACAGCACATAACAACAAGGGTACTTTCAGAAGACAAAGCAAAGTTGTTGTTGTTGTTGTTGTTGCTATGTGCAGTTGAGTCACCCATGACTCATAGCAACCTTATGAACAAAGCTCCATCTCATCATCTCATCCAGGGTCTTCCACTCCAGCGCTGTCCCTCCACCCTTCTGAGCATGATGCCCTGATAACTTGCCCTTGCAAGTAATTTCAAAGAACACGGCCTGGATCAGGCGCAACTTAGTCTGTAGAATGATATTGTTGTTCTTCAGTACTCTGGCAAGGTCCCTGACAGCAGATTTACCTAATTACAATTTGTCTTTTGATACCTGACTGATGATGCCAAGAATGTTGATTGTAGAGCCAAGCAATCTTTAACTGTTAACAACCTCAATCTCTTCTCCATCCGTCACATGCTGCCAACTGGTCCAGTGGTGAGAATCTGTCTTCTTGATGTTAAGCTTCAATCCATATTGAAGACTACAGTCCTTGATCTTCTGCAGGAAGCATTTCAGGTCCTCCTCGGTTACAGCAAGCAAGGTTGTATCATCTGCATAATGTAGGTTGTTGAGTCTTCCTCCAATCCTGATGTCACATTCCTCCTCATAAACCCCAGCTTCCCAAGTGATCTGTTCTGCATATAGACTGAAAAGGTATGGAGACAGGATGCATCCTTGATTCACTCCCTTCCTGATTTTGAACCATGCTGTTTTCCTGCTCTGTTCTGAGGACTGTTTCCTGATTCAAGTATAGGTTTCACACAATCACAATCAAGAGTTTTGGGGATTCCCATTTTCCTCAAGGTTAACCATAATTTGTTGTGATCCACATAGTCAAATGTCTTTGCATAGTCAATGAAACACAGACAGAAATCCCTCTGGTACTCTTTTCTTTCTGCCAAGATCCATCTGACATTGGCAATAATGTCTCCAGTGCCATGGCCTCTTCTAAACTGACCTTGTATTTCTGGAAGTTCACTGTCAATGTTCCAGTTTCTGGCTAATCTTCAGCAGGATTTTGCTTCAGGGTGATATGAGTAATACTGTATGAAAATTTCTGCCAACTTTTGCAGTCAGAAATCGATCAAACATGCAACCAAGATACATTAATAATAATGACTGGAATGCAAAAGTTGGAAACCAGAAAGAAGGATCAATAGCCTGAAAACATGGACTTGGTGGCAGTAATGAGGCTGGGGATAGAACAATAGAATTCTGCACAATGATTTATTCATAGCAAATGCATTTTATAAGAAATGTAAATGCGTGCACACCCATGTTTATCTCCACTTTGTTCACAATAGAAAAGAATTGGAAACAACCTAAGTGCTCATCAACAAACGAATGGATAGAGAAGCTGTGATATATTCACACAGTGGAATACTATGCTGTGTTGAAAGACAACTCATGAAATATTATACAAAATGAGTAACCCTGGAGGACATTATGCTGAGTGAAATATCTCAGTCACAAAAGGACAAATACTGCATAGTGCCACTGTTGCAAAGCGGGACAGACATCGGGGTTGGGGGGAGACTGAGAAAGATGAGATAAATTACGTATACTGCATTGAAACATATGAGGGAGAGAACTGTGTAAAAGGGATACATGATTATGTATTATTGTCATTACAGGAGTCCAGAATGAAGGCTACATAGTGGAGTGGACCTGGGGGGAGGGATTGTATAAGAATGAAAGAATTTTTCTTTTACTTTTCAAAGAGAAGAGCAAACTGGGGGGTAGGTACAGGGAGAAAAGTGCTACAATGAATGAATGGAAACCCAGAGTCTCTAAACTTTCATTAAAATTAATAATAATAATCGCAACAATGAATGAATGGAAATCCAAAATCTCTGTAAATGTTCATTAAATTAATAAAATAAAATTTAAATAATAATAATAATAATAATAGTCCTTAAATAGACCAAAAAAGAAACATAAATGTAGGCTATACACATGGATTTCACTTGATGGGAGGCACATGAATCAGACTGATTATATCTGTGGAAGGAACCATTGGAGAAGTTCAATATCAGCAGTGAAAATTAGGCCAGGTGCTAATTTCAGAACAGACCATCAACTACTCACATGCAAGTTCAACTTAAAAGCTAAAGAAGGGCAAATCAAATCCACAGAAATAAAAACTTGACCTTAAGTCTGTCCCAGGGGGATTTAAGAACCAATTCAGGAACAGGTTTGAGGCCTTGAACACTAATGAACGAAGTCCAGGTGAGCTGTGGGAAGATATTAAGAATATAATCCATGAGGAATACAAAAGGTCATTACAAAGATAATAATAAGAAGAAGAGACCAAAATGGATGTCAGAAGAGACTCTGAATATTGCACTAGAGCACAAAGAAGCCAAAGCAAAGAGAAGAGATCAAGAAATTAAAGAGCTGAATAGAAGATTTCAAAGGGCAGCTCGGGAAGACAAAGCAAAGTATTACAATGAAATGCGCAAGGAGCTGTAGTCCAAAAATCACAAGAGTTGAATGTGCTCAACATTTCTTAAGCTGAAGGAACT